GCGGGCTGCTCCAAGTCAATATCCATATGCATGGCAGGCGGATCAACTGGTACATCATCCGCCACCTGCTCTGCTGCTGCCTGCTCCATCTCCTCTCTTTCTAGCTCCCCAGCTGCCTCTATAATGTCATCCTGTAGACTCTTAACAAGAGCATTGTAGCTCTTGTCCCAATCCTTCTTCAGGAACGAGCAGGCCCCAGACTCAGTACTCTTCCGTGGTTGGAAGGGATAGCGCTGGTCTCTTAGAATCTATATGTTGAGATGGCCGAATGGCAGATACTTTGCCTGTTTGGGCTTAGCCTTACTGATATGGTCAACATACAGCTTCATCATAACGCTCCAGATGAGCGTAGGAAGGAATAACCAGTGCCCTGTATAGAAGGTGTACAGAGCTATTAGGTAGTCGCCACACCTCTGTATTTTGTAGCTGGCCATGAAAACATTTTGGAATAGCATCGAATTAAAAAAGCACAAGTCGTCTGGCAGATAAGTCCGAGTGGCGAAAGTCTCGCCACCTGCATAGTGACCTGTGAGTGCAACGGCCATGTCTGCATATGAAGGCCTCCATAGAGTAGGATAGGTATCCTGGAGATGGAGAGGGTAGACCTATGGACATCGGCATGATCTGAAAAGAGTGTCCACAGTAGTACTGATAGGGTACCCGTCAATGGTAGTCTTTAGCTCCGCCAGGTACTCGGGACAGGTCGGAGGTTTTGGAAGAACATCCGGACTAACCTCGGGTACACTGGGTATGTCACAGGGGCTAGTATGGCTGAGATGCACCTCCGTCTATATCGTCATATGCTGCTCTGGTAAGAACAGACCGAGAGAAGTAGTTTATGTCGAAGACCAACTCATGCGCCACTCAAAGGCGTGAGTATCTCGGCAATGGCTGGTCTAAGTCCTGGGCTGGCTGAGCTGGTGGTGGTGATAGAAATGGTATGTGCTCAGCCTCAGCACCAGCTTGTGAAGAAGATGCCTCAGTTCAAGACTATAGTCTACTGTCATTGGATGGAGACTGAGGTGGAGTAAGCTCTGCTGGCTCGGGCTTATAAATGAAGTCCTGGACGTGAGATGGACCTGCCTCGTCGTCCAATCTCCGCCTGGCCCTACGGTGATAATGTCCGTGACCAACAGTCTTGACCCTAGCCATAGCCTACAAAATAAAAGAAAACTCAAAAAGGAAGTCAATCCCGGTATAAAGAATTAAAGCACAGTTTATAGAATCATGTATGTCAAATAAGATAGACAAAACATATAAGGAACATGAATCTATGCAAGTGACAAAGAATAAGTGACATGACGTGAAGCATGCTAGGCAATATAAGTATGGAATGCATCCAATGTGGAAAACACAAGCATTGGGCACGTATGAGGTAGCATGAAACACAAGAGATGGTATGTGAAATGTGTGATGCAAATCTGTGAAGTTCGATCAATCACAAAAATGTGAGATTGATGCAAGTTTGATCGATCGTGAATAAGCGAGATCGATCAAAGAAAAAGTTTGATTGATCGAATTGTGAGGTGAAATTTGAAAAGTCACAGATCTTTGGCGTGGATGGCACGGGGGCCTCACAAACAAGCTTGTGGGCCCCTCTACATAACAAATCAACAATTTTGGTCACTTTCCTTGGCCCGTGACCCCCAAAATCGAAATTAAAACCAAAAAATATGAAACCTATATATACATATATATATACATATATACATAGCTTCAAAGCTTCAAATATGGCAATATTCAACATCAAAATATCATAGATCTATCATATAAAGCATGGATTCATGAAGAACAAGCTTGAAATCAAAAGAGGGATCTCGGATCTTACCCAAAACCGAGAGATGAGATAAGAGGGAGATGAAATCTGAGATCCGAGATGAAGTGGAGAGATTCGAGATGCGGTGGACTCGCCGGAGGGTTCGCCGGAGGTGGGGAAGTGAGTTGCAGCGACGAGGGATGAAAATGGTGGTGTTAGATCGATCTGTGGTATTGATCTAATAACCCTAGGTTTGATTTTTAAAAACATTCTTTTACCAATTCGATTGATCGAATTGTGATCGATCTTTCCTCACTAAAACACAAAATTGTTTTGAAGCTATTTTTAATAAACAAAAATTTAAAAATGAAAAATATTTTTTTGTTTGGATTTTTGAAAAAAAATAAAACTAAATAAAATAAAAATAAACAAAAATAAAATAAACTATTTTTGGAATATAAAACAAAATAAAATATATATAATTTATTATTTAAAATTTAAAATTCAATACAAAAAATCAAACTTAAAACAAAACAATAAATCAAAGAATAGAGATTGATCTTTCCAAGATCGATCTCAGAATAACTCCAATCAATCGAACATGCAAAAACCTGTAGACATGTTCGATCAATGGGACAGAGAGCCTTCTGATGCAGGTTAGATGCGGGTTCAAAAATTTTCTAAGTGTTGAGACTACAGATCAATCCAAGATGAAGTTGGATTGATCGAAGAACTAAAGATTGATCTAGGAACAAGTTCAAACGATGGGACAGAGAGCTGAAATATGCAGGTTTTCTTCAAACGATTGGACAGAGAGGTGATTGGATGCAGGTGGATACAGGTATGGAGTTCGATCGATCGAACCTCCTTGGAGATCGATCAAACTTATGCAAAATGCTCATTTTCAACATGAAAGTGCATGCAATCCTAATCATAGTTCCTAGCAATGCATATGAACCTAAAACAAATATCTAGACTTCGCAAGAAATGAAATTTAAAATAGAAATGAGGGAGGAATAGGGTTGTAACACCCTACGAAATTTACTAGTCTTTAACATCTCTAGCAAGATATTGGGCTCTTTTAGCCCGAGTCAAACATCTTGTAGTGCATCCCCTCCTTGATGGGGTGATAAGTGTTTTGAACTCCACCCAATAAATGGTTCCCTAGAGAACTTATTGGATTAGGCTCAAAAGAAATTTTTGGTCCTTGGTCACAATGATCTTTGGGCTTCCATGCCCTTTCAAAACAAGCTTTTGAAACAACTTTCTTGGAATTCAGGGTTGAAGATGAACTTTTTGGAATTTTGGTTTCACACAATAACTCTATTCCTTCGCATTCTTAGTTATGATATTTCTCTACAACATTCACTTCTTCATGTTTGTCAAATGAATTGGGGGTCGGATTGAAGATATTCAACTTCACCTTCATGTGGCCAAATGAGATCTTCATTATCCCAGTCCTATAATTAATGTTGGCATTCGTGGTTGCCAAGAAAGGACGACCAAGGATAACGAGAATTTGGCTATTAGGATTCGGGACCAGTTCCGTGTCAATGACAACGAAATCAACGGGGAAGAAAAATTTATCAATCTTAATCAATACGTCCTCAATGATACCCCTAGGCTTTTTAATGGATCGGTCGGCAAGTTGCAAAACCACCGACGTTGGTTTCAAATCTCATAAGCCGAATTTGACATATATCGAGTATGGAAGAAGGTTAACACTTGCTCCTAAGTCAAGAAGAGCCCGATTAATGATATGATCTCCAATGATGCATGAAGTGGTAGGTGAATTGGGGTCCTTAAACTTTGGAAGAGTGTTATGCTGCAAAATGAGCTTACTTGCTCGGTTAAGACCACTTTCCTAGGTGCTTGACTTTTATTCTTCCTCTTTTGGATGCATAAGTCTTTCAAAAACTTGGCATAAGCCGGAATTTACTTGATTGCATCCAAAAGTGGAAGATTGACTTTCACTTGCCTAAACACATCCATAATTTTATTTGTTCTGGCCTTTTGCTTGTCAATTGAAATGGATCCTTTTAAGGCATCCGAAAATGGAGCTCTTGGCTCAAAAACTTTCTTAGGAATTTTCTTTGAAGTCTCTTCAACACAAGAAATTTTTAAATCATTTTGCAAATTTTTCTTTTCAAAATCACTTTTCAAGATATTCTCATTTAAAAGATCATGCATATGCAATGAAGGAGGAATAGGATGAGAAACAGGACGGGTGTCAACTTTGGGTTGCACCAGTTCACTTTCTTCATTAGACATACCCACTTGGTTGTCCACAATCTTCCCACTTCTCAAGGTAGTCACTACATTGACATGCTCTATTGTGTGACTTTCCGACGACGAATGAGTCTCCACAACACATTGTTGCTTTTGTGGGGCATTCAAAGGCATTTTCCCTTTCTCTCTAGCATTTAAAGTACTAGTTATTTGCCCTACTTGGGTTTCTAGCTTAGCAATGGATTGAGAATGAGAATGAAGCAATTGAGTGTTCGCCTCTAGAGTGTCTAAAATGGTCAAAACTTTCTCTTTAAAAGCGGGACTCTTAGCATTTCCTTGAGAATATGATGGTTGATTAGGAAAATGAGAATTAGAAAATTGTTTTCCTTGTGATTGAAATGATGATCTAAAACCTTGGGAACCTTGGCTTTGCATCGGAGGTGGAACATACTTCCCTTAGAAACCACCTTGGGGAGGGTTTAAGCCTTCCCCTTGGTTTCTCCAAGAGAAATTCAGATGATTCCTCCAACTAGGATTATAATGATTGCCATAAGAATTGTTCCCTTGATTAACAAAAGCTGCATTGACTTGTTCATGATGCTTACTTTGAACATGTCCATGAGGACAATTAGAAGTAGAATGTAAAACACTTGAACAAGTCATACATGTCTCATTGGATGCATGATGGGAATGGTTAGGGATGGAAGATACTTGATTTACCGAGTTTTGGTTGATCAAGAATTGATCAAACCTTTGAGATAAGGATTTCATCTCGGCGGCTATTTTATTGGAATGGTCAACTTGATGTAAGCCAACATTCTTCCTTCCACTTGAATTCTTACCATTCTTAGAAGATAAAGTTCGACGTAAAGAATTTTCACTCATGCTCTTATAAAGATGCCACACGTCATCCTCATGCCTATCAATTTAAGAGCCACCCATGGAAGCATTAACCATGCCCTTATAATTGTCGGATAAGCTCTCAAAGAAATATTGAACTAATTGCCATTTGGTCATGTCATGATGTGGACACTTCCTAAGCAATTCATTGAATCTTTCCCATGCCTCATGGAACGTTTCCCCATCCCCGTGTGAAAACTCTCCAATTAAGGTTCTCATAGCATTGGTCTTAGAAACCGAATAGTACTTCTTCAAGAACTCTTGTTGTATTTCTGCCTAAGAAGTTATTGAAAAAGGCTTAAGATTGTTCAACCAATATTTTTCCTTGTCTTTAAGGGTGAATGGAAAAATTTTAAGCCGTAAGACCTCTTCCGGCATGTCCGTGTATCTCACGGTGGAACATACTTCAAGAAACTCATCCAAATGCTTGTAAGGTTCTTCACTTGGAAGTCCATGATAGTTAGGAAGCATTTTAATGGTTTGTGGTTTGATCTCATAGTGGTGTGCTCTAAATGGTGGTAATTGAATGCATGTAGGTGCATTGTATTCATTAGGCATATAGTGATCTCTTAAAGCAAGGGGAGGATTAGCAATTGGAGGTGCAACATGGGTACCTTGATTGCCTTGAATGATGGGAGGTTGTGGAGCATAGATTGGCTTTGGCATTCCCAAAGGAACTTGGCCTTGTTGTTATGGTTGGTGAATGAATGGCCTCGGCATGCCTAATGGTACTTGCATGTTATCATGATGCACATTGGGGTGGAGGATACCTTGTTGGTCTATGTGACCAAGGTCTCCACATGGTCCTCATTATGTCTTTCCATTGATGAAATGGATTGACTAGAACTACCTCTTCCCCTAGGGTTTCGAACAACGGATTCAAGATGAAAATTAAGAGGCATAAGAGTAGGTTTCAATGATCTACGACCATGCATGCACAACAAAACACAACAAGCAACAAATAATGAACAAACACTTCACCTTCGCAACAAATCAACAATCAACAAACTTCCTCCACATACAATGAACCCATACTCCCATGCTATCAACAATATGCAAAGAAACGTAAATTGCCTCCACGTAGGCTCACGATTTATCTAAGAATTGAAATACAAGCCTCCACGCGGGCCAACGATTTAACTAGAGATTGAGTTAAGAAAGAGCTCACAAAGGGTCATTTAGCACTTCAATTCAATTTTCAATTTTAGCCTTACAAAATTTTTAGATTTTAGCTTTTTCCTTGTTTTTGCTTAGTTCCTTGCTTGGAATGCTCCTTTGCTCACCTTCTAGCTCAATGCACCTAGTCAAACAAGAACCAACATAATAAGTAACCAAAATGAAAATGAAAACAAAGTAAAGAAACGATCAAAAGAGTACTAATTCCTAATTGATTCCACAAATACGACATTGCCTCCAATCAATCCCTGGCAACGGCACCAAAAACTTGGCTGGTTCGTCACACCCAATCTAAAGTTTGTGCAAAAGGTGGTGGTGTTGGACTATGATGAATGTGGCCAAGTTTTACTTTTAGAAATTGCCACTACTACGTTTCACTAAAAATATAGTTAGGGCAAGTAGGGATTGTCCCAAGGGATTAGTGGGTCGTACTAGGTTGTGGAATAGAGATTAGGGTTAGTAAGTCAAGTGATCAAAAGATTGGTTGGTGGTTGAATTACACTAAGATGCAATTTAAATTAAAGTAGGCAATTAAATGTAATGAAGAGAAAATAAGACAAAGATTGACGACGACCGTTCCAATACGCCAAACTGAATGTAGTGAATGTGTGGTTCAAGAAAAGCCTTTTATGTCAAATTTAAATTTATAAAAACCACTACCAACACTACTACTAACGTAGCAAGAGTGAGTAGGGATCGTCCCAAGGGATTATACGTGTTGGAATTTCAACTTCGACTCTAGCGTACCAAATGATTGCAAAAGAGAATTGGGTTGGTTGATTACTTCTAGAAAAGAATTAATTAAAATGCAATAAGATAAAGAGTAAGTAAGAAGGAAAGGTCTTGGGGTATAGAGATCACCACCAAACAATACTATTCCAAACCATAATCAAGTGACTAATGAGGGAAATGAATGTGTTGCAACAATGTTGTGTGTGTAAAAGACATTCAATTGGTAAGGGTGACTCAACAAGTGCAAATTGTCTCAATCAACATTTGTGAGGCCACAATACATCTATTGGTAGAGGAATATATTGTCTAGACATCATGTGAAGAGAGCAAAATATCAAATCAAGTCATTAAACCTTTCAATAAGCTCATAGTCCAAGCAATCCATAAGGATGACTTAGTTAAACATGCATTATCTAAACATCATGTGAGAGGCCACAATTTATCTATTGGGAGAGGAATAAATTGTCTAAACACATGTGAAAGATACAACATATCATAACTAGTCATTAATCCTTCATTAAGCTCACAATCCACATATAACACAATATTAGAGGAATATGCCATTTGGACTCACAAGCATAGAACATCAAATATCAAGAGTAGATTGTCCTCCCATCTAACATTACACTATCACTACACTAAATCTACACTACTAGCATGAAAATAAAACTATCTAGACTAGGGGAGAGGCACAAGCCATCAAGAAAAGGCATAAACCATCAAATGAACCAAAATAGCATTCATTAAGCATATCATCTTGATAATCTCTAGATCTATAGCATCAATACACATAGACATGCATCAAAAACACTAAATCTAGAGATAAGCACATGAATATCCTACTCTAGCATACATAGACATATGGGTAGAATAGAATAGTCAATTGGAAGCATTAAACCATACAAACCATGAAATAATCAAGATTTATATATACATGAATATCAAGATGTATCATACAACACTAATCCCTCAATAATACACAAGATTAGAGTATAGAAAGCATGCTTGGGGCTAACTCTAGCCCCAAGAAGATGTCTAGCCACTCATGGTAGTGATAATCCAACCCTCAAGGGCTAACTCCATGGTTACTCCTTGTAGATGAATATCTCCTCCAATGGTTTCTCTAGCTTCCTTCCTTCCTCCTCTCCAAGAATAGCCTCCAAGATGATTTTCAATGTGTGACAAGAGACTCTAGACTCCCCTCCAAAAAGTGTATCATATTCCTTATATAGGTAGGTCAAATACACCCTATGATGAGCTGTGGTCGTGCAAGACATATTCTCCAATGATTGGGTGAAGGACGGAATAAATGAGCTGGACTTTAACTTTTTCTCGCTGGAGGAAGTTCGATCGATCGAACCTTAACTTGGATCGATCGAAGATGGGTTCGATCGATCGAACTGCATCTTGGATCGATCGAAGTGGTCTGACTCCTCCGGATAAGGACAAGGCTGAGATATTTCGAAGATATTTATGGGGAAAAGGACAAAAGTGGTTGGTAGGCGTACAGTTGTGGATAAGATCAATCATTTGAATAGGACAAAATAGGGTTCGATCGATCGAAGGTGATGTTGGATCGATCGAACTTGGAATTTCAGCAAAGGCCAAGGTTGGATCTATCGAGAAGTACTGTGATCGATCATAGATGTTCGATCGATCGAACTCTAAGTTGGATCGATCGAACTTTTCAACTGCACAACTTTGATTCCTTTTTGCTCCTTACTTTCTCCACTTTGCTCCCTCCTTTGGTTTATCTCAAGATTGCTTCAATTAAGCTCTTATTTGGCTGAGTTAGCTCAATTTTGGGATTAGTGCCTGAAAATATAAATAACACGTAATAAGTCTAAAACGGCAAACTAAGATAGATAAAGGTACTAGAATGCTTAAGCTTAACGGGTTTAAATGCGCACTTTTCAGTGCTCATCACACCCCCAAACTTAAATATTGCTAGTCCCTAGCAATGAACTAAGAAGTAAAGGAATGAAATGAACAACTAAACAAGTATAAACTGGAAAGCAAGTAAAATGATAGCGCCATTTTCGCAGGGAACACGATTGCATTTAGCATATGCAACAAGCCGTTTAAACCCCTAGGTTACCCCTAGTGGACGAGTAAAGTCTCGTGAGGGTTTCCAGAAATGGTACCCACAAACATTAAGCTCATTCTTTCAAAAGAGGCACCAATATTGCAAACAAGCATTGGGAGAAAACTACCTCAAGTATGCAATTTTTCAACCGTTTCTAAGCAATCTCACAAAATTTCAATATCAAGCAAGCAAGCATGGTCCTCCACACATCAAGAAAATGATCATGAAAATCAAAACAAGTCTAGAATCCATGTGAGAGGTCTGGCATCAAGTGTGTTACTATCTAAGCTAACTAGAGAAGTAATCACATCCTTACCCTCAAACTAGCACACAAATCTAGTACCGATCATCAAGATAAGAGAGTGGACCTTTTATTAAAGCTTTATTGTTCTAGGTGCGCTTATTCTTTTCACTCTATTTTTTATTTATTTATTTATTTATTTATTTATTTATTGAGGATCAAAGATGGAAGTATTGTGCAATGTGTTGATCTTTTAAGCTTTCTAGAAGATTCATGTAGCGAGCTTTAGGTCAATGACTCCCAAACCAGATGGCTTTAGGGCATTAGGTGTTAAGACACCCATACGGACTTACAAACTCAAATCAACTAGGCTACAAATCAAGACAACAACCATCTAATCATTTCCCACTTCTCACCTTTTGGGAGAAGTCCTCACTTTTATTGCTTTTTGCAACTTCTTCTTCTCTTTTTTTTTTTTTTTTTTTTCAATTCAATTATTAACCTAGAGTTTGGGCCCTCCACCTTTCGGCGCGAGAAGTTCGCTGCTTAATGAGGCAAGAATCCCGGCTACTCAATGAAAAGGGGTTGTTATCCACCTTTATCAAGAATGAAAGCTTTCAATGCACTACTAGCCCAATTGGGATATAACCAATTCAATAATCAACAAAGCATGTACCACACAATTGAATGCTAGCGTGCGCCGGTGCTAGTGTAGAATCCTAGAATGAATCTCAAAACAATCACAAAATCAGGATGATGTGGACCACAATTGCAAGCAAGATATCAATCTTTTGAAAAATTTACTCCTAAATGGCATCCTCAAGGCATACAAGGAGTATTGGACTCTCAAGTCAAGCAATTTTTAAATTTTAAGCAATATAGTCCTCAAAAGATCAAAATCATAGCTAGAAATGGACCAAGTATAGAAATATTCCTCAAATACACAAGACATGCTCAAAATTTGAATTTTAAAGTAACACTGAAATATA